TGGTACTATGCATTGGGACAGGTAGCGTTCTCCTGGCTTCCGCCAAACCCAGATTTGTCCGTCGGACCGCCAGATGGTGAAGCGTGATTTATCACTCCCGAGAACACGTTTCCACTGCTCCAGAGTCCAATGGTGGCAAGCTTTACACCACTCCAGCCGGCGCTTGGCATTGCGCATGGTGATCTTAGGCTTGTGCTCGGCCATGGAAACCCATTTCATGAAGCTCTCGACGAACAGTTCTTGTGCTGACGTTGCTTCCAGAGGCAGTTTGGAACTCGGTAGTGAGCACTGCAACCTAGGACAGACGATGTTTACGCGCTACAGCACTCGGCGGTCCCGTTCTGTGAGCTTGTGTGGCCTACCACTTCGTGGCTGAGCTGTTGTTGCTCCTAGATGTTTCCACTTCACAATAACAGCATTTACAGTTGGCCGGGGCAGCTCTAGCAGGGCAGACATTTGACGAACTGACTTGTTGGATAGGTGGCATCCTATAACGGTGTCACGTTGAAAGTCACTGAGCTCTTCAGTAAGGCCATTCTACTGCCAACGTTTGTCTATGGAGATTGCATGGCTGTGTGCTCGATTTTATACATCTGTCAGTAACGGGTGTGGCTGAAATAGCCGAATCCACTAATTTGAAGGGGTGTCCACACACGTTTGTATATATAGTGTATCTTAGACCTAGAGAGACAGGTAGATAGATATATCATAGACCTAGAGAGAGGTAGATAGATACAAGTGCATTCGGAAAGTATTCAGACCCCTTGACTTTTTCCACATTTTGTTACGTCACAGCCTTATTCTAAAATGGATTGAATTGTTTTTCCCCCCTAATCAATCTACACACAATACCCAAATAATAAATAATTTTTATAGGGAGCGTCGCTGCACAGCTGTTTTCAGGTCTCACCAGAGATGTTTGATTGGGTTCAAGTCCGGGCTCTGGCTGGGCCACTCAAGGACATTCAGAGACTTGTCCCAAAGCCACTCCTGCGTTGCCTTGGCTGTGTGCTTAGGCACTTGGCATTCAGGCCAAAGAGTTCAATCTTGGTTTCGTCAGACCAAAGAATCTTGTTTCTCATGGTCTGAGAGTCCTTTAGGTGCTTTTTGGCAAACTCCAAGCGGGCTGTCATGTGCCTTTTACTGAGGAGTGGCTTCTGTCTGGCCACTCTACCATAAAGGCCTGATTGGTGGAGTGCTGCAGAGATATCTGTCCTACTGGAAAGTTCTCCCATCTCCACAGACGAACTCTGAAGCTCTGTCAGAGTGACCATCGGGTTCTTGGTCACCCCCCTGACCAAGGCCCTTCTCCCCATATTGCTCAGTTTGACAGGGCGGCCAGCTCTAGGAAGAGTCTTGGTAACTTCTTCCATTTAAGAATGGAGGCCACTGTGTTCTTGGGGACGTTCAATGCTGCAGACATTTTTTGGTACCCTTCCCCAGATCTGTGCCTCGACACAATCCTGTCTCCGAGCTCTACGGACAATTCCTTTGACCTCATGGCTTGGTTTTTCATGGCTTGGTTTTTGCTCTGACATGCACTGTCAACTTTGGGACCATGTATAGACAGGTGTGTGCCTTTCCAAATCATGTCCAATCAATTGAGTTTACCACAGGTGGATTCCAAGTTGTAGAAACATCTCAAGGATGATCAATGGAAACAGAATGCACCTGAGCTCAATTTCGAGTATCATAGCAAAAGGTCTGAATACCTATGTAAATAAGGTATTTTTAAAAATATTTTTTTATACAGTTGCAAAAAAAAAAAAAAACGTTTCACTTTGTCAATATGAGGTATTGTGTGTAAATTTATGCCGAAAAAAATGCATTTAATCCATTTTAGAATAAGGCTGTAACGTAACAAAATGTGGAAAAAGGGAAGGGGTCTGAATACTTTCTGAATGCACTGTATATCCTAGACCTAGAGAGACAGGTAGATAGATATATCCTAGACCTGGGGAGACAGGTAGATAGATATATCCTAGACCTAGAGAGACAGGTAGATAGATATATCCTAGACCTAGAGAGACAGGTAGATAGATATATCCTAGACCTGGAGAGACAGGTAGATAGATATATCCTAGACCTAGAGAGACAGGTAGATAGATATATCCTAGACCTGGAGAGACAGGTAGATAGATATATCCTAGACCTGGAGAGACAGGTAGATAGATATATCCTAGACCTGGAGAGACAGGTAGATAGATATATCCTAGACCTAGAGAGACAGGTAGATAGATATATCCTAGACCTGGAGAGACAGGTAGATAGATATATCCTAGACCTAGAGAGACAGGTAGATAGATATATCCTAGACCTGGAGAGACAGGTAGATAGATATATCCTAGACCTAGAGAGACAGGTAGATAGATATATCCTAGACCTAGAGAGACAGGTAGATAGATATCCTAGACCTGGAGAGACAGGTAGATAGATACAGTGGGGGAAAAAAGTATTTAGTCAGCCACCAATTGTGCAAGTTCTCCCACTTAAAAAGATGAGAGAGGCCTGTAATTTTCATCATAGGTACAGGTCAACTATGACAGACAAATTTAGATTTTTTTTCTCCAGAAAATCACATTGTAGGATTTGTAATGAATTTATTTGCAAATTATGGTGGAAAATAAGTATTTGGTCACCTACAAACAAGCAAGATTTCTGGCTCTCACAGACCTGTAACTCCACTATGGCCAAGACCAAAGAGCTGTCAAAGGACACCAGAAACAAAATTGTAGACCTGCACCAGGCTGGGAAGACTGAATCTGCAATAGGTAAGCAGCTTGGTTTGAAGAAATCAACTGTGGGAGCAATTATTAGGAAATGGAAGACATACAAGACCACTGATAATCTCCCTCGATCTGGGGCTCCACGCAAGATCTCACCCCGTGGGGTCAAAATGATCACAAGAACGGTGAGCAAAAATCCCAGAACCACACGGGGGGACCTAGTGAATGACCTGCAGAGAGCTGGGACCAAAGTAACAAAGCCTACCATCAGTAACACACTACGCCGCCAGGGACTCAAATCCTGCAGTGCCAGACGTGTCCCCCTGCTTAAGCCAGTACATGTCCAGGCCCGTCTGAAGTTTGCTAGAGTGCGTTTGGATGATCCAGAAGAGAATTGGGAGAATGTCATATGGTCAGATGAAACCAAAATATAACTTTTTGGTAAAAACTCAACTCGTCGTGTTTGGAGGACAAATAATGCTGAGTTGCATCCAAAGAACACCATACCTACTGTGAAGCATGGGGGTGGAAACATCATGCTTTGGGGCTGTTTTTCTGCAAAGGGACCAGGACGACTGATCCGTGTAAAGGAAAGAATGAATGGGGCCATGTATCGTGAGATTTTGAGTGAAAACCTCCTTCCATCAGCAAGGGCATTGAAGATGAAACGTGGCTGGGTCTTTCAGCATGACAATGATCCCAAACACACCGCCCGGGCAACGAAGGAGTGGCTTCGTAAGAAGCGTTTCAAGGTCCTGGAGTGGCCTAGCCAGTCTCCAGATCTCAACCCCATAGAAAATCTTTGGAGGGTGTTGAAAGTCCGTGTTGCCCAGTGACAGCCCCAAAACATCACTGCTCTAGAGGAGATCTGCATGGAGGAATGGGCCAAAATACCAGCAACAGTGTGTGAAAACCTTGTGAAGACTTACAGAAAACGTTTGACCTGTGTCATTGCCAACAAAGGGTATATAACAAAGTATTGAGAAACTTTTGTTATTGACCAAATACTTATTTTCCACCATAATTTCCAAATACATTCATTACAAATCCTACAATGTGATTTTCTGGAGAAAAAAAATCTCATTTTGTCTGTCATAGTTGACGTGTACCTATGATGAAAATTACAGGCTTCTCTCATCTTTTTAAGTGGGAGAACTTGCACAATTGGTGGCTGACTAAATACTTTTTTTCCCCACTGTATATCCTAGACCTAGAGAGACAGGTAGATAGATATATCCTAGACCTGGAGAGACAGGTAGATAGATATATCCTAGACCTAGAGAGACAGGTAGATAGATATATCCTAGACCTGGAGAGACAGGTAGATAGATATATCCTAGACCTAGAGAGACAGGTAGATAGATATATCCTAGACCTGGAGAGACAGGTAGATAGATATATCCTAGACCTAGAGAGACAGGTAGATAGATATATCCTAGACCTAGAGAGACAGGTAGATAGATATATCCTAGACCTGGAGAGACAGGTAGATAGATATATCCTAGACCTAGAGAGACAGGTAGATAGATATATCCTAGACCTAGAGAGACAGGTAGATAGATATATCCTAGACCTGGAGAGACAGGTAGATAGATATATCCTAGACCTAGAGAGACAGGTCGATAGATCATGTACAGGTAGATATCCACAATATTTCAGTGTCATCGGGTAGCCAATCAAACAGCAACACAAAAAGAACAATAACAAAGTAGCAGACAAACATTTCTCCCTGGGCTGGGGTGGGGCTGGGGGCGGGACTCTAGGGGTAGGGAGTGTGTAGGAGCTTGCAGAGTGGTGTAAGTGTCTAGGAGTTGTAAGTGTGTGTGATTATATATATATATAGATATCTCATGTAGCTCAGTTGGTAGAGCATGGCGCTTGTAACGCCAGGGTTGTGGGTTAGATTCCCACGGGGGGCCAGTATGAAAAATGTATGCACTCACTAAGTCGCTCTGGATAAGAGCGTCTGCTAAATGACTAAAATGTAAATGAAAATGTAAATGTGGAAAGGGAGTGCTACATGTCAAACTACTATGAGGTATTTGGTGGGGGTTGGAGAGCAGAGGTTGGAGAGCAGGGGTTGGAGAGCAGGGGTTGGAATTGGAGAGCAGGGGTTGGAATTGGAGAGCAGGGGTTGGAATTGGAGAGCAGGGGTTGGAATTGGAGAGCAGGGGTTGGAATTGGAGAGCAGGGGTTGGAATTGGAGAGCAGGGTTTAGAATTGGAGAGCAGGGTTTAGAAATGGAGAGCAGGGTTTAGAAATGGAGAGCAGGGTTTAGAGTTGGGGTGTGAGAGCAGCGGTTGGAGTTGGTGGGAGAGCAGAAGTTGGAGTGGGAGAGCAGGGGTTGAAGAGCAGGGGTGGGAGAGCATGGGTTGAGTTGTGGTGGGAGAGCAGGGGTCGGAGTTGGGGAGCAGAGGTCAAAGTTGGAGAGCAGGAGTTAGAGATTAGGGGTTGAGTTGAGGTGGGAGAGCAGGGGCTGGGGGGGCAGGACTCTAGGGGTAGGGAGTGTGAGAAGTGCAGGTCGAGGGGAATCACGAGTAGGAGCATGCAGAGTGGTGTAAGTGTCTAGGAGTTGCAAGTGTGTGTTATATATATATATATATATATATATATAAGAGTGTGCAAAGCTGTCATCAAGGCAAAGTGTGGCTATTTGAAAAATCTCAAATATAAAATATATGTTGATTTGTTTAACACTTTTTTGGTCACTACATGATTCCGTGTGTTATTTCATAGTTTAGATGTCTTCACTATTATTCTACAATGTAGAAAATATAAAAAATAAAGAAAAGCCCTTGAATGAGTAGGTGTGTCCAAACTTTTGACTGGTACTGTATACAGTGAGGGAAAAAAGTATTTGATCCCCTGCTGATTTTGTACGTTTGCCCACTGACAAAGAAATTATCAGTCTATAATTTTAATGGTAGGTTTATTTGAACAGTGAGAGACAGAATAACAACAACAAAATCCAGAAAAACGCATGTCAAAAATGTTATAAATTGATTTGCATTTTAATGAGGGAAATAAGTATTTGACCACCTCTCAATCAGAAAGATTTCTGGCTCCCAGGTGTCTTTTATACAGGTAACGAGCTGAGATTAGGAGCACACTCTTAAAGGGAGTGCTCCTAATCTCAGTTTGTTACCTGTATAAAAGACCTGTCCACAGAAGCAATCAATCAATCAGATTCCAAACTCTCCACTATGGCCAAGACCAAAGAGCTCTCCAAGGATGTCAGGGACAAGATTGTAGACCTACACAAGGCTGGAATGGACTACAAGACCATCGCCAAGCAGCTTGGTGAGAAGGTGACAACAATTGGTGCGATTATTCGCAAATGGAAGAAACACAAAATAACTGTCAATCTCCCTCTGCCTGGGGCTCCATGCAAGATCTCACCTCGTGGAGTTGCAATGATCATGAGAACGGTGAGGAATCAGCCCAGTACTACACGGGAGGATCTTGTCAATGATCTCAAGGCAGCTGGGACCATAGTCACCAAGAAAACAATTGGCAACACACTACGCCGTGAAGGACTGAAATCCTGCAGTGCCCACAAGGTCCCCCTGCTCAAGAAAGCACATATACAGGGCCGTCTGAAGTTTGCCAATGAACATCTGAATGATTCAGAGGAGAACTGGGTGAAAGTGTTGTGGTCAGATGAGACCAAAATCGAGCTCTTTGGCATCAACTCAACTCGCCGTGTTTGGAGGAGGAGGAATGCTGCCTATGACCCCAAGAACACCATCCCCACCATCAAACATGAAGGTGGAAACATTATGCTTTGGGGGTGTTTTTATGCTAAGGGGACAGAACAACTTCCCCGCATCAAAGGGACGATGGATGGGGCCATGTACCGTCAAATCTAGGGTGAGAACCTCCTTCCCTCAGCCAGGGCATTGAAAATGGGTCGTGGATGGGTATTCCAGCATGACAATGACCCAAAACACACGTCCAAGGCAACAAAGGAGTGGCTCAAGAAGAAGCACATTAAGGTCCTGGAGTGGCCTAGCCAGTCTCCAGACCTTAATCCCATAGAAAATCTGTGGAGGGAGCTGAAGGTTCGAGTTGCCAAACGTCAGCCTCAACCTTAATGACTTGGAGAAGATCTGCAAAGAGGAGTGGAACAAAATCCCTCCTGAGATGTGTGCAAACCTGGTGGCCAACTAAAAATTATAGACTGATAATTTCTTTGCAGTGGGCAAACATACAAAATCAGCAGGGGATCAATTTTTTTTCCCCCTCACTGTATGTGGAAAGGGAGCACTACATGTCAAACTACTAGGAGGTATTTGGTGGAGGTTGGAATTGGATAGCAGGGGTTGGAGAGCAGGGGTTGGAGTTGGGGTGGGAGAGCAGGGGTTGGAGTTGGGGTTGGAGAGCAGGGGTTGGAGTGGGAGAGCAGGGGTTGGAGTTGGGGTTGGAGAGCAGGGGTTGGAGTTGGGGTGGGAGAGCAGGGTTGGAGTTGGGGTGGGAGAGCAGGGTTGGAGTTGGGGTGGGAGAGCAGGGTTGGAGTTGGGGTGGGAGAGCAGGGGTTCGAGTTGGGGTGGGAGAGCAGGGGTTCGAGTTGGGGTGGGAGAGCAGGGGTTCGAGTTGGGGTGGGAGAGCAGGGTTGGAGTTGGGGTGGGAGAGCAGGGGTTTGGAGTTGGGGTGGGAGAGCAGGGTTGGAGTTGGGGTGGGAGAGCAGGGTTGGAGTTGGGGTGGGAGAGCAGGGTTGGAGTTGGGGTGGGAGAGCAGGGTTCGAGTTGGGGTGGGAGAGCAGGGTTCGAGTTGGGGTGGGAGAGCAGGGTTCGAGTTGGGGTGGGGGAGCAGGGTTCGAGTTGGGGTGGGAGAGCAGGGTTCGAGTTGGGGTGGGAGAGCAGGGTTCGAGTTGGGGTGGGAGAGCAGGGTTCGAGTTGGGGTGGGAGAGCAGGGTTCGAGTTGGGGTGGGAGAGCAGGGTTCAGTTGGGGTGGGAGAGCAGGGTTCGAGTTGGGGTGGGAGAGCAGGGTTCGAGTTGGGGTGGGAGAGCAGGTTCGAGTTGGGGTGGGAGAGCAGGGTTCGAGGTTGGGGTGGGAGAGCAGGGTTCGAGTTGGGGTGGGAGAGCAGGGTTTCGAGTGGGGTGGGAGAGCAGGGTTCGAGTTGGGGTGGGAGAGCAGGGTTCGAGTTGGGGTGGGAGAGCAGGGTTCGGAGTTGGGGTGGGAGAGCAGGGTCGGAGTTGGAGTGGGAGAGCAGGGGTCGGAGTTGGAGTGGGAGAGCAGGGGTCGGAGTTGGAGTGGGAGAGCAGGGGTCGGAGTTGGAGTGGGAGAGCAGGGGTTGGAGTGGGAGAGCAGGGGTTGGAGTTAATGCTCAGTTTGTCGCGCGCTGTATCGCTAGCAGCATTTTAGCCACCGACTGTCATGTGCTAGCTGTCTAGTCTTTGTTTTATAAATGTGCAATGAGCATTAAAAATACGCATTTATATAAGGAATGGGCAACATGTTCTCATTCTGAGAAATAATTATCTTCTTATCCAGGTAGGCTACTTGATCTTAAAGTGAACAGGCTATGTTGTTCGAACAGTTGGAGATGGACAGGAGGGTGTATTTATAACAGTTAAACTGTTCTACGTTGTTAGCGTATAAAGGTTAGCTGGCTACTCACTAGCACGTGGGTTTGTGCTTGAGAGATTGTTTATGGGACCTGTGTCCATTTTCTATAAGGCCTGCTAGAAAAAGTTGCTAATTATCAGTGGATGTGCATGATTTGTGGTTGGGGGGGGGGGGGGGGGGGGGGGGGAGTATGAGGGGTAGTTGAGGGGATAGTGAGGGGGGGGGAATGAGGGGTAGTGAGGAATAGTGAGGGGTAGTGAGGATAGGGGAATAGTGAGGAATAGTGAGGAATAGTGAGGAATAGTGAGGAATAGTGAGGAATAGTGAGGAATAGTGAGGGGATAGTGAGGAATAGTGAGGAATAGTGAGGAATAGTGAGGAATAGTGAGGGGTAGTGAGGAATAGTGAGGAATAGTGAGGATGTGAGGATAGTGAGGAATAGTGAGGATAGTGAGGTGGGATAGTGAGGAATAGTGAGGGGTAGTGAGGAATAGTGAGGGGTAGTGAGGAATAGTGAGGGATAGTGAGGTATGAGATAGTGAGGAGTGAGTAGTGAGGAATAGTGAGGGTAGTGGGATAGTGAGGGGTAGTGAGGAATAGTGAGGGGTAGTGAGGAATAGTGAGGGGTAGTGAGGAATAGTGAGGGGTAGTGAGGAATAGTGAGGGGTAGGAGGAATAATAGTGAGGGTAGTGAGTAGTGGGGATAGTGAGGAATAGGAGGGGTGTGGTGAGGAATAGTGATAGTGAGGGTGTGAGGGTGAGGTTTAGGGGGTGGTAGTGAGGCTAGTGAGGGGTTTGAGTAGTGAGGGGTAGTGAGGATAGTGAGGGGAGTGTGGGATAGTGAGGGTGTGATTGGAATAGTGGGGGTAGTGGGATAGTGGGGGTAGTGTGAGTGAGGGAATAGTGAGGGGTCGTGTGAGGATGGTGAGGGGTAGTGCGGAGTGAGGAGGTAGTGAGGGAAGTGAGGGGTGAGGGGTATGAGGGTCGTGAGGGTGAGGTGATAGTGCGGGTAGTGAGGAATAGTGAGGGTCGTTTGTGGGGGTAGTGGATAGTGGGGGTGGTAACGTGTGGTGAGACGTGTGTGAGAGTGTGGGGTGGTGGAGGGAGAGGAGTAGTTACGTGCCATGAACACACAGCTCCGAGGGGCCATAGAAGTGTGTGAGGGGGGAAGTGAGAGTTGTGTATATCGTGTCTGTGTGTGACCTACCAACAGATGTAGGCATCTCTCCCCACTGCAACACCACGTCTTTAGTGATGCGTCCGTAGGTGTTGACGTAGACGCCCTCGTCCTCATAACACAGCAGCATCTCCATCCCGTCGGTCCGCGGCAGCACCACGATGGCATGGGGCGTCACCTGACTCTGAATCTGCCGGGGGCGATAGATACCACACAGTGGAGGGGTGGGGCTGGCGTCAGCCTGGCGGGCACAGAGCACGACCCCCGCAACTCCTCTAACCCTTTCTTTCATGTATTTCTCTAAATCTCTCCCTCTTCTTTCCCTCCCTCCCTCCCTCCCTGTCTCGTGGCCAGCTCCCCACTCCCCTGTGCGAAGAGAAACTGCTGCAACAATGGAATCTCCCACTCCATCATCCACACAATAACCATGGTAACACACAATGTAAACAAAATAGCATTGTCATGGTTTGAACAACATAAATGGTAAACGTCATGGTATTCGAGCCCTGAAACCAGGGTAGGTACGGTTCCCATTTAAGAGGTCGTAGTTCAAAGGGGAACCAACGGCTCACCACCAGAGTGGAGAAATCAGATGTTACCTGGTTCAGGTGTCCTTCTCTGAGCGTGCGCACACATACACACACACACACACAGTCTTACGTGGGAGGGAATGTAGATGTCATAAGGGTTGCCAGAGTCGACATCGATGACATGGAACCCGATGCTGGAGCCATAGATAACCTTTAACCTCTGACCCTCCTCCACTGTCAGGTCAACCAGCTGGGGGCGGTGCTGCAGGTCAGTGAACGACTGACAGACAGACAGAACGAGAGACATCAGGGAATAGAGAGAGAGAGATACTGTGATCACTGATGTGTGGAGAGCATTCTGCTTGAAAATGGCTGCTGGGCATCACCCAGGTGGTAGTGGAGGAAATGAGATCATATTGGTGTGTGTGTGTTACCTTGAAGGCCATGAACTTGTGGTAGGGTTTGGGCGCCCAGGCAAAGATCTCCACTGAGTTCTTCAGAGCGATCACCAGAAACTTGATCCTCTCATACTTCACTGGAAACAGCACACACACACACACACACACACACACACACACACACACGAGGGTCAATCACTCACTGAGACTGGTGTTAGTAACCCGTGATAATGCCTTGGCTTTAGCTCAATGGGCTAATGCAACACACAGACCACCCAGGTTTAAACTTCACCCAGCCAACACACACACACACGTACCGACTTTGTAGTGCACGCAGCCCTCCATCTCTCCTACAGTGACCCAGCCCTGCTTCTTCTCCACCTCGGGGTCGTTGTGTAATATCCTGTTCCTCAGCCAGGACAGGTAGTACACACGCAACTTATTCTTCTTCCCTGGAGGAGGAGCGAGAGGGGAAAGGAGAGGGAGGGGAAGAGAGGGAAAAGTCTTAAGCCTATTAGCTCTTCCAGAGTGATCTTACAATCTTTACAAAGCATTTCTACAGGCCTCGAGTTCTTTAGAAAACACAAGTCTGCCTTTTGAGACCGGACAGTCAAAACCACAAAGTAACAAACAGAAACAAACCATAACACTCCACTCCGATGGAGCTCCAGAACCGTTTGTTAAGGTCTGATCGTGTTTAAGTAGCGGTTGGGTTGCAGTCAGTCCTACCTGATATGGTGACCAGGACATTGAGTCCCTCCAGAACGTCCATCTGTTGGAAGCGTCGGCGGTTGATCAGGTTATAGACCTTCCCTTGACCACTACGGTCCAGCAACATCAGACCGTTCTCTGTCCCCACCAGCAGGTTCACACCTATACACACACAGACACACACAAATGATAAACACACACAATAGCACAATGTGTGTGTGTGTGTATACATATAGTTTACGTGTCTTACCCCAGAGAGCAGCACACAGTATCTCAGAGTTGAAGCGTTTCTTGTATTTGCGTATCTCAGGCGTGTCGCTGTGAGGTCGTATGTTGGTTGGGTTCACGTTGACCACGCTGATCTTTCTGGCCTCGTTCAGTCTGGCCTGCTCCTGAAGCAGCAGCTCGTTCGCAAAGTGGGCTGTAACCGCAGGATAACTTTACACTAACGTTCACATAACCTTTCAAAACTTACAACAACCACAGGACAACCTTAAAACATAAAGAAACATTCACACAACCTGCTGATTCCTAAGCAATTCACTGGCAAAAAGAGCTTTAAAAAAAGATGAGATTGAACAGATATTGCGGATAGCTACTTCTATAGAGGAAAAATGTACTTACTATGACTGTGATATGTGGTTGTCTCACCTAGCTATCTTAAAGCTAGAGTCCTTCATTGAAACAATAACAAAGTGGCACTCAGCCTGTGTTTTGGTAAAAAGCTCAGGGATAGGCCTGGAGAAATGTAACCACCCTCAAATTCATAGACAGAGCTATGGATGCAAGGACTGACCCTCCGTGACATCAAAATTATAGTTCTAACCATGTTGAGGCTGTACAGTGTTTATTTACATGTACATTGTTTACTAACATTGGAGTAAAACAAGCTTCTATTTTGGGTTCTGACGGGGTACGACAGTTGAACTAAGCTCATGGGGCATTTATAAGTTATATTCTTTAAGAATCTATGGTATATACTGTATCATTGATTTATAAGTCCAACAATAGATGTAACAACTAAGGTTTCTAGCTTTAAGATGAATGCACTAACTAACTGTAAGTCGCTCTGGATAAGAGCGTCTGCTAAATGACAAAAAATGTAAATGTAAAGATAACTGACTCACCGGACGCAGAGTTATCATCATCATCATCGGTGGGGGAGGTTCCGTAGACTTGTGGATCAACGAATGGCGTGAAGGAGGAGGACTTGGAGCCACTGCCACTGCCCACACCGTACTGCCAATCAGAGAGAGGGGTAGGATCAGGGCCTCAGAGCATCAGGGCTCAGCGGCCAATCAGAGAGAGGGGTAGGATCAGGGCCTCAGAGCATCAGGGCTCAGCGGCCAATCAGAGAGAGGGGTAGGATCAGGGCCTCAGAGCATCAGGGCTCAGCGGTATCCCAGACCATGTGATCTGACCAGGAAAAACTACAGGCCCCAATTTCTGTCCTTTGAGGTAACAGATAGCCAGGCGGGAGGGTTTTCAGCATAATCTTACAGGTAGCCAGGTGGGAGGGTTTTCAGCATAATCTAACAGGTAGCCAGGTGGGAGGGTTTTCAGCATAATCTAACAGGTAGCCAGGTGGGAGGGTTTTCAGCATAATCTAACAGGTAGCCAGGTGGGAGGGTTTTCAGCATAATCTAACGCAGTGGTCACCAACCAGTCGATCATCAACGTTTTTGTAGAATAGCCAATGATAAAGGCCTGCGCTCCTTTAAAAATAAATCTTATTGCGCTGTTGGAGGTAGATACACTTGATTCTGAAGCCATGCGTACCTGGTAGGAAAAGTGTTCCCAATCTGAACCATTTCATTCTCCGCCTACCAGGAGATCTGTGGCTAAATCGAGTGTGACTATTGCGCTGGACAATCGGATAGCTCAAATCACTGTGCCTACGGCTTCCACGACCCCGGCCACAGCAAAGTTTGATAATAGCCTATGTGAGATGTAATAATGTTTAAAACCATGACCAGAGAGACTGTCAAAGAGCTGCTGTTTTTATTCAGTACTGTCAACACTGTTTTTATTCAGCACTGTCAACACTGTTTTTATTCAGCACTGTCAACACTGTTTTTATTCAGCACTGTCAACACTGTTTTTATTCAGCACTGTCAACACTGTTTTTATTCAGCACTGTCAACACTGTTTTTATTCAGCACTGTCAACACGGTTTTTATTCAGCACTGTCAACACGGTTTTTATTCAGCACTGTCAACACTGTTTTTATTCAACACTACTACAAAACATAAAAACACATTTCTCCCTACTTCCACTCGCGCTGCAATGAATGAGTAGCCAAATGTATCGATAGCCCTGCGTTTTTATTATTATTATTATTATTAACAGCTCGTTGTCTATTTTAATATCAAGGAATATTTCACTTTTTCTGGTCATAGGATCAACATGAATTTGTGCAAGAGGCAGATGCAGTGTGACTGGAGTTTCGCCATCAGGTGGAAGACGGTGTCCCGTCTCTCTGGAGTCTCACTGGACGAAAGGAAGCTGTAAGTAAGGACCGTGAGAGGCGGACCCTTTGCTGCTCTTCCCCTCCCTCCACTGAGACGAACGGCGTGTTCAAAACAACTGGGAACTTGAAACTCTGAAATCTCAGACTTCCGACTTCAGTGTGTTCAAGACAACTGGGAACATGAAACTCTGAAATCTCAGACTTCCGACTTCAGTGTGTTCAAGACAACTGGGAACTTGAAACTCTGAAATCTCAGACTTCCGACTTCAGTGTGTTCAAGACAACTGGGAACGGTCATCCAATTTCTAGAGCTTTGCCTTTCCGACCTGAAGATCACTAACGTCATGATTTGACCTCGTTTCTTTTCCGAGTTCCCAGTTGTCTTGAAAGCAGCATGACCATCAGATGCAGGCGCCATCAGTCCAGTAACATAAAAAAGCAAATGATTACCAAATTATTTAAATTTATGCTCAGCTGTGCCTCGCAAGTGCTACACCAACTTATCTATTTTGTTATCAACACTCGAGGTTTGAAATATAATATGGTCTGAGAAGAACAATATTGGCAATCCAGGCATATAGCCAATATGCTGTGATAATGTATTAGGCCTACTGTACAAACCTCATTCCTACAGAACTGTTTTTATTAGGTTAATGTTAATTTTTTTAAGTAATGCTTAAATAAAAATCTGAACAGTAGATCTCGGCTTGATTTTTGACTGTGAAAGTGATTTTTTAATTAATTAAATTAAATTAAATTAATTGGTCATTTAGCAGACGCTCTTATCCAGAGCGACTTACAGGAGCAATTAGGGTTAAGTGCCTTGCTCCAAGGGCACATCGACAGATGTTTACCTAGTCGGCTCGGGGATAGACCAGCGACCTTTGGTTACTGCACAACCTCTTAACCAATAAGCTAACCTGCCCCCACGAGAGCCGGTCTGTTGACTATGGCTGTTAGAATGTGACAAAATTTACCAGGACCCACACTGACGCATGTCACCAAGTATAACCTCAGTCAAATTCCACATGACCATTTAGTCACGGTAACTAGACTTCTCCAAGCTCTGATGCTGCTGATGGTCATTAGTAGCCAACCAAACTTGCTAACTGCCTGGTACTCAGCACTCTATTGTCCCTCTAATCACTCTGACATCAATGCAAATGTTTTCAAAAATCAAACACCTCATGAGAGCCCATGAGCTCATGTTGCGCAACATTTCTACATGCTATGCAATTGCATGAGAAAATAGTTTTGATGGCCTCTATTAAAAAGAGGATCTCATCAGCTTTCTATAGGCTAGACCTACTATATTTATTTCTCAACTTTTCTAATATTAAGCACATTGCTTATGTTTACAACAGGAGTATAGCCTACCTGGCTAGCATGAAAATGAACCACGGGAAAAGCATCCTCGATTCGCTATTTAAGTGCATAGATGACATTTCCCCTGCCCTTGATTCGAGACGTGCATGATAAATGGTCCATTCTAAATCAAGACAAATTTCACACATATATTATTTAGTATATGTCAAGACAAGATTGAATCAACAATAGTCTGATGGGTGACATAACTATCTTATCACTTGTGAATTATATATTATCACTAGTGAATGATGCCCAGCTTGTGTGCAGTAAGGGAAGAAACAGCGCACGCCTTTTTTTTGCGACTTTTTCAAATCATAGTCGCACACCTCATGTAGCCTAGCCTATAGACCTACAGTGCATTTGGAAAGTATTCAGACCCCTTCCCTGTTTCCACATTGTTACGTAACAACCTTATTCTAAAATGGATAAAATAAAAAATAATTCTTATCAATCTTCACACAATACCCCATAATGACAAAGCAAAAACAGATTAGAAATGTTTGCAAAATTATTACAAATAAAAAACAGAACAGTATTCAGACCACTTTCTATGAGACTCGAAATTGAGCTCAGGTGCATCCTGTTTCCATTGATCATCCTTGAGATGTTTCTTCAACTTGATTGGAGTCCACCTGTGGTCAATTCAATTGATTTGACATGATTTGGAAAGACACACACCTGTCCATATAAGGTCCCACAGTTGACAGTGCATGTCGAGGCGCAGATCTGGGAAAGGGTACCAAAATACTTCTGCAGCATTGAAGGTCTCCAAGAACACAGTGGCCTCCATAATTCTTAAATGGAAGAAGTTTGGAACCATCAAGACTCTTCCTAGAGCTGGCCACCCGGCCAAATTGAGCAATTGGGGAGAAGGGCCTTGGTAAAAGAGGTGACCAAGAACCCGATGGTCACTCTGACAAAGCTCCAGAGTTCCTCTGTGGAGATGGGAGAACCTTCCAGAAGGACAACCATCTCTGTAGCACTCCACCAATCAGGCCTTTATGGTAGAGTGGCCAGACAGAAGCCACTCCTCAGTAAAAGGCACATGACAGCCCGCTTGGAGTTAGCCAAAAGGCACCTAAAGGACTCTCAGACCATGAGAAACAAGATTCTCTGGTCTGATGAAACCAAGATTGAACTTTTTGGCCTGAATGCCAAGCGTCATGTCTGGAGGAAACCTGGCACCATCCCTACGGTGAAGCATGTTGGTGGCAGCATCATGCTGTGTGGATGTTTTTCAGCGGGAGTCTAGTCAGGATCGAGGGAAAGATGAACAGAGCAAAGTACAGAGAGGTCCTTGATGAAAATCTGCTCCAGAGCACTCAGGACCTCAGACTGGGGCGAAGGTTCACCTTCCAACAGGACAACAACCCTAAGAACACGGCCAAGACAACGCAGGAGTGGCTTCGGGACAAGTCTCTGAATGTCCTTGAGTGGCCCTGCCAGAGCCCAGACTTGAACCCGATCAAACATCTCTGGAGAGACCTGAAAATAGCTGTACAGCGACGCTCCCCATCCAACCTGACAGAGCTTGAGAGGATCTGCAGAGAATAATGAGAGAAACTCCCCAAATACAGGTGTGCCAAGCTTGTAGCGTCATACCCAAGAAGACTTGAGGCTGTAATCGCTGCCAAAGGTGATTCAACAAAGTACAGAGTAAAGGGTCTGAATCCTTATGTAAATGTTACATTTCCATTTTTTATGTTTAATACATTTGCAAAAATTTCTAAAAAACTGTTTTTGCTTTGTCATTATGGGGCATTGTGTGTAGATTGATGAAAACAATTTATCCGCTTTACAACCGGTGTAGAGCCTAACTGGCATACATAGGAGGTGCGTGAGTTTCAAGTTTGGGGAAGATAATTTTCACCATAAAAATGCTCCTTTATAATAAAGCATTACATGCATAATCGCATTTGCGATCACTGTTTTCCTGCTAAGTGATTGCATTTTGGAACATTTGCGCTTATAGCCTACTACCGTGTGCACCTTGCTGTACTTATAATGTGAAGAAATAGGAAAAAACTTTCTGATCTGTTGCATCAGCCTCATAAAAAAAATTTTTTTATTAATTTGGGATCTATCGCATTCCACAACTGTCCCAGACTATGTTTGGAATATTTATTTCTCATTCAGAAGGAACAAGTTGACCAATAAAACAGGTAAACGTTTGTGCTATGGGGGGATAGTAGATTGACATAGGCTAGTGCTTTTGCTGTTCGTAAGGCCTACTCATCTTGTTGGCTGACGAAAAGTAAATGTGGTCAGTTCTTCCAACATCTTCAATATGAGCCTCGGAATTCGATAAGGACGCTCGCATTTGCATCCCCGATGTGTCTGTCTTCACTTGTAGCCTGTGAGAAGGACCCGAGATTCTGTGAGAAGGACCCGATCACATGATGGGCATTGGCTAATAAGAATTGAGATATCTGAGAGAGCCATGTGAGTGAGAGGTGCCCTCGGATCACGCAGCCAGGAGAAGGGAATTATTATTATTATTTTCAGCCCAAGTATTCTTCATACTTTAAAATAATGCCATGGAATTCTAAACAAATCTTGTCTGCTGAATGAACTACTGTAGCCCACAGCCATTTGGCATAGCCAGATCAGGGCCTAACATAAGGACAACTCAGAGTATGCTATTCTGTTATTCTGAAATAGACTACATTTTCTTCATATAATTTCTTTAGACCAGTCTAAAATAAATAATGGATTTATTGTGATGGTGTAGATTATATTAAATTGATTTATTATACTTTTTTAAATGTAGATGTTCCAAAGGTATGCGTGGAAGCCAGGAGATGCTAAATATGTTTATGTTAATTAACGGTCAATTACAGTGAGACCAGCAGTTATTTGCTTGACCAATCACCGGCTGACAAAATGTCATGACCGCCACAGCCCTAATCTTGACTCAGAAAAGGTGATCACTGCTCTAACGGGTGGCCAGAGTGGAAAGTGTGTTGAGCAACATTAGACTTGGTTTGCCATGCACACACAACATGCAGGAGAGAGGAGATCATGTGACCAGCAGCAGCAAAGGAAGAGAATGGAAGGAGAAATGGATATGGATATGGATTGGGTTAGAGTGGGTTTAGTCTCAAGAGCCAGACAGACTAGGTCCAAGTCAGACTAGAGGGGAGGGTGAGTTTTTTTCCTATTCACTTTTAGGACGCAGAGGGCAAGGGCACGGAGGCAAGAGGCAAGGGTGTAGGGGTCTGTGTGCAGTGAGGTTGTGTGCAGGGGGATAGCATGTAGGGGGGGTTGTGTGTAGATGGCTAGCATGTAAAGGTGTAGGGTGCAAGGATGCAAGCAGTTGGGATGTAGGGGGGCTAGTGAACCTACTTCGGAGTGGCTGCGCCCAGAGCCATTGCCAGGGGAGACCAGGGGGGAGGGGCTTTGCTGCACCAGATCGGGCAGATTGGCGTTGCCGGGGAAACCGTTGCTGTCGGCGAGAGCGGAGCTCCGCCTCCTGTCCCCATAAGTCTGGAACAGAGAGAGAGTGAGGGGCACTCTAGGCACTGATCTAAGGTCAGATTAATGTATTTCCTTGTGATGGGTAGGAGTTGGGAAGGGTAAGCGGATTCTAGATTTGTGGTTAAAGTTAGGTTTATGGTTTAGGGGATTCATCTGGATCTGTGGTTAAGGGGTACGTTCTGCCCCTGATGTGGAAGGTGGGTGAACCCAGAGGAGTGAAGAAGCAGAGTGACGACTGGTGACAATGCAGAGAAACACACATACACGAGCTGAGTGCATGCATGGATGCTGGCTGTTGAGTTGTGTATAAAGTGGGCAGAGCGGAGCCCTGGGGTCAGGGGTTGAAGGTGACTGACCTCTCTCATCAGGGAGCTGTCTTGGGAACTGTTGCCGTGGGAATCATCATGTCCTCCCATCACACCGTACGACTCACCGCCACTCTGCCCCGCAGCCGGCCTGACACACACAAGTTTAAAATACATAGCTAAAATGCAGACACACACTCACTTTCTAACACACACTCACATGATGCGTGGGATGTCGCTGACAGACACAGAGCCGTCGTTACTTCTTCCCTCTCCCTCCTCATCACTCTGTGACTCATCACTGGACGAGGAGTAGTCCGTCACCTTGACGGGCGGGCGGTTAGGCTCCTCCCCCTGTCGCAGCTCCCTCAGCTCTTTGGCCAGAGCCGTCAGGTCCTGGAGGTCAAAGGTCAGGAGAGGATATTATAAAAAGGTCAACCCTCACGCGGTGGATGCAGTAACAGTTGCTTTGATTCATGGGCAATATTTTATTGGCACAATGTTTTACACAGATTTTTCAGCCGTTAACTAATTCCCCAGAGTGTGAGTGAGGAACAATGAGGCTTCAGTCAGGATGCAGTCAGGAAAGGTCACTAATAGAGGGGTTAGGGTTCAGGGAACAGGAGTTAAGGGGTTAGAGTTCAGGGGTTAGAGGTCATCAGTCTTAGGGGAAACTCAGCTCCAATGCTCCCCAGTCTGCCTGAATGGGTGAATGGGTGAAAGAGCTAGGGAGTAAAGGGTTGAGAGAGATATGGCGAAAGGGCGAGCAGAAATGGCACTAACCTCATCTACAGCTCTCTTATAGCTCTAAACGGGATGGAGAGAAACGCAGAGAGGGGAAAGGAGAGAGAGAATAAAAAAGGAATGTGGGAAAAAGAGGAGAGAAGATGAAAGAGAGATAAGATTGGTTAGTTCAAATAAGAAAATGAGGTGTGTGCGTGCGTGCGTGCGCGCGTACACTCACCGCGGGCCTGCTCGGTCGTGTCAGTGTCACATCTCTGTTCTCTTCTTTGGTCTTCTGGGGCGGCGCCACGGACCCCTCCGCCCCTGTCAATCGATCGTGTCACTGCTCATTAAATAGTCAACCAATCACATTTTTTTCTTCTGTCTATAGTCTTAAAAAGCTGAGACCTTTATAGTAACACATGGAATCTGTGGGTGTTTCTCAAAATGCATACTACCGTGCTCCAAGCACGCAAATTGGAACACAGGAGGGTTGGAGTATGAGTCCAAATCAAAGTATGCGAAACGGAACACGGCGGGCACCTTTCGAATGCGTACTCAGTTTGTACATATTTTTAAGCATGCATCGATGCAAGCTTCAATGGAAAGTATGCACAGAAATATGACGCAACCACGTAAAAAAAAATTACGCTCAATTTCTTTAAATCAATGGCAGTCATTATTTGAGCTGAGGCGAGAGATCCACACAGACTTCAGAATGAAATGTTGCCTATTCACATCATATGTTGCATGACTATTTTATCTGAATAAATACATGCTGTGATCATTTTGGCATGTTTACCTGCCTACAATACCCACTGTAGTGTGCGTAAATCACAAACCCATAGTAAGTCAATAGGCCTAACAGGCTAGCTACTACTGTTAGCTACTACTGATAGCCACGAAGAATTGTTAGCTAGCTAGCTACCCACGAATAATTGACATCTACCCATTAGTTTTAGGTAATTTTTGCCTGTTAAACTATCTGGTTTGCTATATTATTACCATTCACATATAGCTAGCTGATAGTTATGAAGTAAAACGTTTGCTTTGTGTATATCTTGTTTTGTCTCTATTGCCATTGTCCTGGCTGGGAGAAGGTTCAGTGAATGGCTAAGTCCATAGTAAGTCAATAGGGCTAACTGGCTAGCTAGCCAGCCACGAATAATTGGTAACTAGCTACCCACGAAAACTGTACATCTACCTTGCATAACAATAGTTTTAGGTCATTTTTGCCTGTTTAACTAGCTGGCTAGCTAGATTATTACGATTCATATATAGCTAGCTGATAATTATGAAGTAAAAAGTTTGCTTTGTGAATATCTTGTTTCTTCTCTAATGTTGCCATTGTCCTGGCTGGAAGAAGGTTCAGTGAATGGGGAGGTGCAGCGTGAGGTAATACAGTAGGTGGAGTGCGGGTGCTTCTCAAATGTAATGTTTAATGTGTTCTCCACACGCTCGTCCTCACAAGAATGCACTCAAGAGAATGTCCTTGGAGAATGCACATGGAGCATGAGAGTGTGGAGCAGGGTAGTATGCATATTGAGAAACACCCTGTGTGGTGGTGGTATGTGTACCTCTCTCGTTGCTTCCCCCCTGGGAGGAGCTGGAGGAACTGCTGCTGCCCGTCCTCTTCAGGGGTGTTTCCATGGAGACATCAGTCCTCCGCAGGTCTGGGTTACTTTGGCAACACACACAAACACAACATCAACTGCCTGATTCACAAAGGAACATGGAGAGTGTGTGTGTGTGTGTGTGTGTGTGTGTGTGTGTGTGTGTACCTGGCCCGTATCAGGTGTGATCCAGCTCTAGGAGCAAGGCCCCCAGGTCCATTCCCAGGTGAGTTCTTCCTGACCAGGGCTGGAGAGATAGACGTGGTCCTCTGGGGCACCTGCACACACACACACACACACACACACACACATTAAAAACCTGTTAGAACAGGTGTAAATGTGGGATTATATACTGTATTCTCAATCTCAAACTAAATTTGCCAAAATATGTACATAGAGATTTGAGATTAAGAATCGTATGGGGCACCAACAGTTCAGAGACATTGCATTCCAGACCTTGGGAGGTAGGTCTAGGTCCGTTCGTAGCCAGGAGCTGCGCTCCAGTTTGTCGGGTGGGGGAGCGAGGCGGGGGAGAGGAATAGGAGGAGGGGTGTCTGAGGTGGGGTCAGAGTTCTGGCGGGGCATGGGGGGGCGGCCGGGGGATGGGGATGGGGAGGGGGACAGGCCTGTGACCCCTGCAGGGTCGTGAAGAGACTGGGACCCAGACAGACCATGGGACTTCACCTGCACCAGGTGGGCCATCTGACAAGACCAGAACCAGAACAGGACCAGAGGATGAGGTTTACATCAGGACCAGGCAGGTAGAGGAGCAGGAACAGGACCAGAGGATGAGGTTTACATCAGGACCAGGCAGGTAGAGGAGCAGGTGTAGAGGAGGAAGAGAGGCAGGTGAGGAAAGGAGAGGAGGAGGAATGGTTGGAGGAGGAAGGGGGTGGGGAAGAAAGGGGAAGGGACAGTTACTCGGAGTGAAAAACAAATATCAAAAAGGGTAAACATGCACATACACTTTCCCAGTCCCACACACACACACCTGTGGTTCTGCGGAGCGGTGCATGGGTGGTGTTCGGGCCTGCTGAATGCCCCCGCTGCTGAAGGACTCTGAGCGGGGAGGCAGGGACGGGTCGGAGATACGGTTGGACACTTTATGATGCAGCGCTGGAGAACTCTGTCTGTTCAGCTTGGAACGCTCCTCCACCTGACAGACACACACAGTTAGAGCAGACTCATTTATATTGGCAGTCAGTGACAGATTTATCAACGCATGTATGTGTGACGTGTGTCAAACCTCCCGTTTCCCTCAGAGCCGTTACCATGGAGAAGGAGAAGCCATTTTCAGGAGAGAGCACAGAGACAGACCTAGCTACAGTGTGCCTGTTGGTGCCTGTGCATGTACCTGTGTGTGGGTGTCCAGAGGGAAGAGGTAAACCCATGTGGGCTTAAGACAGATATATCTGCGGCTGGCCTACATCAGCTCACAGTGGCCACTGGGGGGCAAGGCGGATATGTGTGTGTGTGTGTGGCCTGGATCTAGGCTAAATCAGGAGCTGGAGTGTGTCCCTAAGAACATGGTGTCTATGTATAAAGCAGACTAAAACATTTTGACTGACAGTCTGACCTCTAGAGGAAGAGAGCGATGGGGGGAGGGGTTAATGAAACAGACGATAATCTCGAAATGGCAAATCTGTTAGTCTTTGAGAGTACATGTATAACCATTCTAAAAGATTCTAGGCACCATTCTAGAATGTAGAGAGAAAAGAAAGCTGTTCTAGAACTCTCCAGCCACCATTCTAAAAATCACCAGTAACGTAGAACCATCCAGCCACCGTTCTAGAACCATCCAGCCACCATTCTAGAACTCTCCAGCCACCATTCTAAAAATCACCAGTAACGTAGAACCATCCAGCCACCATTCTAGAACTCTCTAGACACTACTCTAGAACATAGAACATTCCAGGCAGGGTTCTTTCAGGAGTCTGTCCCCTGGTGTAAGGGAAGAGAAAATTGTTAATAAGTAAAGGAGAGTCCCGTCCAGAAGAAAGGAGGGATGGGAGAGAGAAATAGAGAGAGAGAGAGCTCCACAGACACACCAGCCAAGGGTTAAAGGTTAGGGTTAGTCCACCTCTGGAGAGAGAGGGAGGAAGTGTCTCAGAGACACCGGAAGTGGGTGTTTCCCTCACTGACCCGTTGACCTGGACACATCCCCCTCAACTCCTGAACTTCTCCCTCAGGGCTCCTCCTTCTGGCTTCAGGGCGACGCATGATTGGATGAGAGGAGTCAGGGGCGGGATCAGGGGCACAGGATACACGTATACACGGAACGTTCACATTTTTGCCTTCAGATTGGAGAAGCCTCTCCCTGGAGGGACTTGATTGGGCAGGGTAGGAAGGGGGACGGGAGCGGGGGGTGTAACCAGGGAGCAGGAGGTGTGATAGGTTGGCATCTCGAGGCTGGTTAAAGGAGTGGTGCTTCTTGGGAGGAATACGAGGTGAGTTACTCTGGGCTTGACGCATTACCTAGAGACATGGGGCGTCATACAGATCACCACACACACACTGAACACATCAAACACATATAGCTATGTGGACACACTGTCACTTTACACATCAAACACATATACAGTGGCTTGCAAAAGCATTGACCCCCCTTGGCATTTTTCCTATTTTGTTGCTTACAACCTGGAATTAAAATCATTTTTTTGGGGTTTGTATCATTTGATTTACACAACATGCCTACCACTTTGAAGATGCAAACATTTTTTTAGTGTGAAACAAACAAGAAATTTGACAAAAAAAACTGAAAACGTAACTATTCACCCCCCCAAAGTCAATACTTTGTAGAGCCACCTTTTGCAGCAATTACAGCTGTAAGTCTCTTGGGGTATGTTTCTATAAGCTTGGCACATCTAGCCACTGGGACTTTTGCCCATTCTTCAAGGCAAAACTGCTCCAGCTCCTTCAAGTTGGATGGGTTCCGATGGTGTACAGAAATCTTTAAGTCATACCATAGATTCTCAATTGGATTGAGGTCTGGGCTTTGACTAGGCCATTCCAAGACATTTAAATGTTTCCCCTTAAACCACTCGAGTGTTGTTTTAGCAGTATGCTTTGGGTCATTGTCCTGCTGTAAGGTGAACCTCCATCCTAGTCTCAAATCTCTGGAAGACTGAAACAGGTTTCCCTCAAGAATTTCCCTGTATTTAGCGCCGTCCATCATTCCTTCAATTCTGACCAGTTTCCCAGTCCCTGCCGATGAAAGACATCCCCACAGCATGACGCTGCCACCACCATCCTTCACTGTGGGGATGGTGTTCTCGGGGTGATGAGAGGTGTTGGGTTTGCGCCAGACATAGCGTTTTCCTTGATGGCCAAAAAGCTCAATTTTAGTCTCATCTGACCAGAGTACCTTCTTCCATATGTTTGGGGAGTCTTTTGGCGAACACCAAACGTGTTTGCTTATTTTTTTCTTTAAGCAATGGCTTTTTTCTGGCCACTCTTCCGTAAAGCCCAGCTCTGTGGAGTGTACGGCTTAAAGTGGTCCTATTGACAGATACTCCTATCTCCGCTGTGGAGCTTTACAGCTCCTTCAGGGTTATCTTTGGTCTCTTTGTTGCCTCTGATTAATGTCCTCCTTGCCTGGTCTGTGAGTTTTGGTGGGCGGCCTTCTCTTGGCATGTTTGTTGTGATGCCATATTCTTTCCATTTTTTTTAAATAATGGATTTAAATGGTGCTCCGTGGGATGTTCAAAGTTTCTAATATTTTTTTAGAACCCAACCCTGATCTGTAATTCTCCACAACTTTGTCCCTGACCTGTTTGGAGAGCTCCTTGGTCTTCATGGTGCCACTTGCTTGGTGGTGTCCCTTGCTTAGTGGTGTTGCAGACTCTGGGGCCTTTCAGAACAGGTGTTCATGTGACAGATCATGTGACACTTAGATTGCACACAGGTGGAATTTATTTAACTAATTATGTGACTTCTGAAGGTAATTGGTTGCACCAGATCTTATTTAGGGGCTTCATAGCAAAGGGGGTGAATGCATATGCACGCACCACCTTTCCGTTATTTATTTTTTAGAATTTTCTTAAACAAGTTATTTTTTTCATTTCACTTCACCAATTTCGACTATTTTGTGTATGTTCATTACATGAGATCCAAATAAAAATCCATTTAAATTACAGTTTGTAATGCAACAAAATAGGAAAAACGCCAAGGGGGATGAATACTTTTGCAAGGCACTGTAGCTATGTGGACACACTGTCACTTTACACACACCTGTCTACTAAATCAAGCACACACACACACACACACACACACACACACACACACATTACCGTGGAAGAACCTGAAAAAAACATTAAGAGTAAACGCAAACAGTAAAGGGGCTGTCCATGATGGAGACACTGTATGTGTTGGAGACATTTTGATATGATTTATAATCCAGACATAGCAATGCTACAGGGCTCCCACTCTCCAGAAAACATAAATCCTGAGACGAGAGAGATCATTGTAGGAGACATAATATACTGTTGGTGTGTAACCAAATAAACTGAACCCATCTATAAGTGCTGTGTGCGTGTGTGTGTGTGTGTGTGTGTGTGTGTGTGTGTGTGCGTGTGTGTGTGTGTGTGTGCGTACAGTACCTCCTTGGCCCAGGCAGGTTTGTCGTTATTAGGGGCTGTGTCTTTGTAGTGGTACAGCTGTTTGTTGTCTTGCGGCCGTGGCTCCTGCTGCTGCTGCTGTAAGGACACCAGGTAGGCCCTCTCCTGCTGCAACTGTCTCTGGAGCCGCTCAGCCTGGCGCTGCTCCTCAATCTGCTTACGCTTGTACTCCTGTAGTTACACACACACACACACACACACACACACACACACACGGTTCACACAGGAACAAATGCACAAACACAAAGTACACTAAATGGCCAATAGTATGTGGACGTGTCAAACATCTCATTCCAAAATCATGGGCATTAATATGGAGTTGGTCCCCCCCTTTGCTACTATAACAGCCTCCACTCTTCTGGGAAGGCTTTCTACTAGATGTTGGAACATTGCTGCGGGGACTTGCTTCCATTCAGCCACAAGAGCATTAGTGAGGTTGGGCACAGATGTTGGGCGATTACGCCTGGCTTGCAGTCGGCGTTCCAATTCATCCCAAAAGTGTTCGATGTTGTTGAGGTCAGGGCTCTGTGCAGATCAGTCAAGTTCTTCCACACCGATCTCGACAAACCGTTTCTGTATGGACCTCGCTTTGTGCACAGGGGCATTGTCATGCTGAGAAGCACAGAATCATCTAGAATGTCATTGTATGCTGTAGCGTTAAGATTTCCCTTAACTGGAACTAAGGGGCCTAGCCCGAACCATGAAAAACAGCCCTAGACCATTATTCCTCTTCCACCAAACTTTACAGTTGGTACTATGCATGGTGATCTTAGGCTTGTGTGCAACTGCTCGGCCATGGAAACCCATTTCATGAACCTCCTCGACTAACAATTTTTGTGCCGACGTTGCTTTCAGAGGCAGTAATGGAACTCGGTAGTGAGTGTTGCAACCGAGGACAGATGATTTTTACGCACTACGTGCTTCAGTGGTCCCGTTCTGTGAGCTTGTGTGGCCTACCACTTCGCGGCTGAGCCGTTGTTGCTCCTAGACGTTTCCACTTCACAATAACAGCACTTACAGTTGACGGGGCGGCAGCGAATCTTAGCAGGGAAGCAGAGAATTTGACGAGACTGACTGCCTTGTTGGAAAGGTGTCATCCCTATGACGGTGATCCACGGTTACAAAGTCAAACAGTGAGCTCCTTCAGTAATGGGCATCCATTGCTGACTATAAGCAATGCAGTTTGTCTATTGAGATTGCATGGCGGTGTGCTCATTTTATACACCTGTCAGCAATGGGTATGGCTGAAATAGCCGAATCCACTAATTTGAAGGGGTGTCCACATACCTTTGTATATATAGTGTATATGCTTGCGCAACAAGAGTGATGAGGGGTTGTTGTGGAGCCTACACAGTGATAGGTGATAGGCTGAGCACTCAGGGGTGATAGGTCAAGGGTGAGAGGTTACCATCAGTAGAGCCTGCTCCTGGAGTAGTTGTTGCTGTAGAATCTCCAGCTGTCTTTGCTCCTCCTCCAGCTGCCTACGGATATACTCCTACCCAATCACAGGCCAGACAGCCAGGTGATCAGCCAATCAGAGCCCAGCGCAGCCAGGTGAGTCATCAGAGCAGTCAACGGAGACAGAAAGGGGGCGATGGAGGAGGTGAAAGGGGGCGATGGAGGAGGTGAAAGGGGGCGATGGAGGAGGTGAAAGGGGGCGATGGAGGTGAAAGGGGGTGATGGAGGTGAAAGGGGGTGATGGAGGTGAAAGGGGTGAGAGGGAGTGAGAGAGAGAGTACAAGGACAGATTAAGGAGAAGATTTTTTGAGAATGAAAGAAACCAAAGTAAGGATTAAAACCAAAATAGAAGCGAGATGGAGTGACATGATAGGAGGTGGAGAGAGGAAGGGATAAGGGAGGAAGGAGAGAGAGCGCAGTGAAACAGATTCAGTTGAAAAAAGAAAAAGAACAAGGTATTACCAAGAAAAGAGACTTGATGCTTCAGTATAGAACCACCCCAAGGTACTTAGTATTGAATCAAGTGTGTAAGAGAGAAAAACACGTTTTATTAGAGACTGAGTGTTAAACATCAGAGTGAAAGAGAAGCATTAACAAAGCAGAGTCATCCCGACCCTAGACCCAGACCCTAACTATACCTGCCCTGAGACATAAAACCTAAATGTCAGTCTGTCTGGTCTGCAACAACAGAGCTGTGGCAGACTGGGGTGATTCCTGGTCAATGTGTGTGTGTGTGTGTGTGTGAGGTGTGTGGGTGTGTGAGAGAGTGAGAGTGTGAGGGTGTGTGCGCACCTGAGAGTTACCTGTGTGTGTACCTGTTCTCTCTCTGCATGCCTCCTCTCCTCATCTCTCCGTAGTTGTTCCATCTCTTCATAGTGTCTCCTCTGTTCTCTCTCCTGTTGCTTCCTCATCTCGCGCTCCCTACGCTGTTGCTGTTGGAGAAAGAGAGAGAGAGATGGAGATTGAGAGAGATAGAAAGAGAACGAGCGAGCGAGAGGGTCATAGCTGGCACCAGACATGTAATGGAGCCGAGCCGTGCTGGAAAATGCAATGTGAACAGAAACTATCTGATGCAGAACAGTTGTGTTCAGGTGGGCATGATGAGGTCAAGACCATGCGCTCTACCTCCTCCAGTCTCCTCCTCTGTTCTTTCTGCTCCTCTATGCGTTTCTGTCGTTCTGCCAACAGGAGGCGTTTGTGTTCCTCATTCTGCTGTTGCTCCAACTGCTGCCTCCGCAGAGCCTCAGAACGCTCCTTATTGGCCAGCTGCAGCCGCAGGAAGTCCCGCCTTAACGTCGACTCCCCAGGGACGTTGATGATGGAGCTGGACAAGGACCAATCAGAGGAGAGATAGGAGAGGGAGGGTTTATGAGTGTAAATCTCTGTCCCACATTTGGAGGAAAATATACACGCAAACACCAGTGCATGTATGCACAAGCACACACACCCTACCTTGGCTCCCCCATGTCCCGTTCCTCCTCCTCTTCCTCACTGCCACTGTACTCATACTCTGTTTCATCTGCAGCACACACACATCTACCAGTTACACACATCTACCAGTTACACACATCTACCAGTTACACACACCTACCAGTTACACACACATCAACTAGTTACACACATCAACCAGTTACACACACACACATCAACCAGTTACAAACACACGCACACACACAACCAGTTACAAACACACACACAACCAGTTACACTAATACACATCAACCAGTTACAGTGCATTCTGAAAGTATTCAGACCCCTTCCCCACATTGTTACGTTACAGCCTTATTTTAAAACGGATTCAATATTTTTTCCCCCTCATCAATCTACACACAATAGCCCATAATGACAAAGCAAAAACAGGTTTTTAGAAATACCTTATTTACATAAGTATTCAGACCCTTTGCTACGAGACTCAAAATTGAGCTCAGGTGCATCCTGTTTCCATTGATCATCCTTGAGATGTTTCTACAACTTGATTGTCCACCTGTGGTAAATTCAATTGATTGGACATGATTTGGAAAGGCACACACCTGTCTATATAAGGTCCCACAGTTGACAGTGCATGTCAGAGCAAAAACCAAGCCATGAGGTTGAACAATTTGTCCGTAGAGCTCCGAGACAGGATTGTGTTGAGAAACAGATCTGGGGAAGGGTACCAAATAATTTCTGCAGCATTGAAGGTCCCCAAGAACACAGGGCCTCCATCATTCTTAAATTGAAGAAGTTTGGAACCACCAAGACTCTTCCTAGAGCTGGCCGCCCGGCCAAACTAAGCAATCGGGGGAGAAGGGCCTTGGTCAGGGAGGTGACCAAGAACCTGATAATCACTCTGGCAGAGCTCCAGAGTTCCTCTGTGGAGATGAGAGAACCTTCCAGAAGGACAGCCATCTCTGCAGCACTCCAATCAGTAAAAGGCACATGACAGCCCGCTTGAAGTTAGCCAAAAGGAGCCTAAAGGACTCTCAGACCATGAGAAACAAGATTCTCTGGTCTGATGAAACCAAGACTGAACTCTGGCCTGCTGACACTGGCCTGAATGCCAAGTGTCACGTCTGGAGGAAACCTGCCACCATCCCTACGATGAAGCATGGTGGTGGCAGCATCATGCTGTGGGGATGTTTTTCAGCGACAGGGAGACTAGTCAGGATCGAGGGAAAGATGAACGAAGCAAAGTACAGAGCGATCCTTGATAAAAACCTGCTCTAGAGTGCTCAGGACCTCAGACTGGGGTGAAGGTTCACCTTCCAACAGGACAATGACCCTAAGCACACAGCCAAGACAACGCAGGAGTGGCTTCGGGACAAGTCTCTGAATGTCCTTGAGTGGCCCAGCCAGAGCCCGTTCTTGAACCTGATCGAACATCTCTGGAGAGACCTGAAAATAGCTGTGCAGCGACACTCCCCATCCAACCTGACAGAGCTTGAGAGGATCTGCAGAGAAGAATGGGAGAAACTGCCCAAATACAGGTGTGCCAAGCTTGTAGCGTCATACCCAAGAAGACTCGAGGCTGTAATCGCTGCCAAAGGTGCTTCAACAAAGTACTGAGTAAAAGGTCTGAATACTTATGTAAAATCAGTTTTTTATGTTTAATACATTTGCAAAAAAATCTAAAAACCTGTTTTTGCTTTGTCATTATGGGTTATTGTGTGTATATTGATGAGGGAAAAAAACAATTTAATCAATTTTAGAATAAGGCTGTAACGTAACAAAATGTGGAAAAAGTCAAGGGGTCTGAATACTTTCCGAATGCACTGTACAAACACACACATCAACCAGTTACAAACACACATCAACCAGTTACAAACACACACACATCAACTAGTTACAAACACACACACATCAACCAGTTACACTCACATCAACCAGTTGGATCTGAACCCTCTATTGTTTTCTTTTGGCAGACTTTTCTTCAGCTGGATGCAGATGTGTGTGTGTGTGTGTGTGTTTGTGTGCACGGATGTGCTTGTGTGTGTCTGTTGCGGTCAGTCTCACCCCTCTCTCCACGTTTCTTCTTGGTTCTGTCGATGTGGTCCTTCAGTTGGATGCGGACCTGTCGTTCGTTGGGCAGCTCTCTGATGAATGGGTGCTTCAAAAGTTGTTCTGTGCTGGGTCTCTGACCATGACTCTTCACCAAGCAACTCTCTATGAACGACTGGAACTTCTTAGACCTGAACACACATAGAGCCAACACAGTGAGTATGTGTGTGTGTGTGTGTGTGTGTGTGTGTGTGTGTGTGTGTGTGTATGTGTGTGTGTATGTGTGTGTGTATGTGTGTGTGTATGTGTGTGTGTGTGCGTGTGATAACTTACCACTTCTTGGACTTGAGTCTGGGGGCGGGGTTTCTGGGGATGAGGAAGAGAGCTCTCATTGGGTGCATGTCACACAGTGCTGCAGAGAGGAAGAGAAAGGGTTAACACCAGAGTTAAAGGGTTAACAAACCACGATACTGCCAACCAACGCACACAACGTCTGATAGTGTCTAATGCCACGTTATTCACTGTTGTGCCAGCCTACGTTGTGTTAGGCGCTGGTACTTATAACACGGTATTCACGGTTGTGCCAGCCTACGATGTGTTGTGGTAGGCGCTGGTACTTACGCGGTGCCCCTTCTGCCATCTCTATAGCCGTAATACCCAGAGACCACAGGTCACTCTGAGACAGAGAGAGAGACAGAGAGACAGAGACAGAGAGACAGAGAGAGACAGAGAGAGAGACAGAGAGAGACAGAGAGAGACAGAGAGAGAGAGAGAGAGAGAGAGAGAGAGACACACGAGTTAAGAGGGATTGAGGAGATGACCAGGGAAAATACACTTACATACACACAGCCTACTGTGGTACCTTGAAGTCGTAGGTGGCCTCAGGGTTTTCGTCGCAGGCGATGACTTCAGGAGCCATCCAATATGGTGTCCCTATAAACGTGTTCCTCCTCCCCACCGTGCGGTCCAACTGGGCACTCACACCAAAGTCCACTGGAACACACACACACACACACACACACACACACAGGTGAAACATTTTGCTCTGTCCGTCCATCTGTCTGCATGCCTGTTTGTCTGTGTGTCTCACCCAGTTTGACCTCTGCGTTCTCTGTCAGCAGGACGTTCTGACCCTTGATGTCTCTGTGGATGACCTTGTGTTGGTGGAGATGGGTCAGACCCTAGAGAGGGAGAGAGAGAGAGAGAGATAAGGGTTGGTTATTATAAGGCATAATTTCAGTAGGTTTCATTCCAAATATCTTGATTGCATTAGTTTTAGATTTGGGGGAGTTAGAGACAGAGGTGAGAGAGGGTGACAAGGCAAGAAGGGCCTTCTATGCCATCAAAAGGAACATCAAATTCGACATCCCAATTAGGATCTGGCTAAAAATACTTGAATCAGTTATAGAACCCATTGCCCTTGATGGTTGTGAGGTCTGGGGTCCACTCACCAACCAAAAATGCACAAAATGGGACAAACACCAAATTGAGACTCTGCATGCAGAAATCTGCAAAAACATCCTCTGTGTACAACGTAAAACACAAAATAATGCATGCAGAGCAGAATTAGGCCGATACCTGCTAATTATCAAAATCCAGAAAAGAGCCGTTAAATTCTACAACCGTCTAAAAGGAAGCGATTCCCAAGCCTTCCATAACAAAGCTTTCCAATGTGTCAAGTAATTATATTTTTGTTTTGTCATGATTTGGTTGGGTCTAATTATGTTGCTGTCCTGGGGCTCTGTTCACAAACACAAACAGACCCCACAGAGCCCCAGGACAGCAACACAATTAGACCCAACCAAATCATGACAACTAAAATATAATTACTTGACACATTGGAAAGAATTTACCAAATGTATGACAATAGACACATATTTCCCTCAGATTACACAGACCTACAAAGAATTTGAAAACAAATCCAATTTTGATAAACTTCCATATCTCAGTGTGCCATCACAGCAGCAAGATTTGTGACCCGTTGCCACAAGAAAACCGGTGAAAAACAAACACCATTGTAAATACAACCCATATTTATGTTGATTTATTTTCCCTTTTGTACTTTAACCATTTGCACATCGTTACAACACTGTATATAGACATAATATTACATTTGAAATGTGTCTATTCCTTTGAAACATGTGAGTGTAATGTTTACTGTTCATTTTTGATTGATTATTTCACTTTTGTTTATTATCTATTTCACTTGCTTTGACAATGTAAACATGTTTTCAATGCCAATAAAGCCCTTTGAATTTAACTGAATTGAAATGATACCCTGAGGATCTCTCTGCAGATGTAGGCAGTCCACTCCTCCTTCAGAGTGTTCCCCTTGGTGTTCTATAGATCTGTCACTGACCTGCCCCAAACTCCCACCAACTACATAGACAGAGAAGAAAGAGAAAGAAAGAGAAAGAAGAAAGGAAAGAGAGAGAGAGAAGAAGAGAAAGAGGAAGAGAGAGAGAGAGAGAGACGAGCGAGATTGACGTAGCGATTTGAGAACGGGAGATAAGAGCACACCAACTGACAGCAGCTCACACGACGACAACAAGCATGACAACCATAGCTGGTCGTCGAGCCAGGAGGGGTCTCTGACGAGGCACCGTATGGTAGCAGATTGTTCGATGGGGCTGACTTTCTCAAGAGATTAGAGGATACGGCATTAGAGAAATGAGAAGAAGCATCACTTGGTCGCGTCATCCGGAACACGAAGCGACAGCGAGAACTGTAGAGTTTTACAGCACGGAACAAACACAGTGACAAGAGAATTGAGGATTCTCAAATAGTCTGTGAAAGGCATTTTTTTAATGGTTTGGCACTGTGTTGTACTTAACGCCAGTACATACCCAACTTATGATGGCGGCACGTGCCTGTTTGACTGGCTTACTCGAAAGGAGACGAGAGTAAGGAGAGAGAGATGTATCTAAAATAAGCTGTACTTGCTAAATGTTGACTCTTTTTGTCCTCACACCTGATCCACAGCCACACTTAGGTTTTACACACACCAAACACGTTGCGGAATTGGATTGCTCAAATGAGTCTGTGAAAGGCAGTTTTTTTAATGGTTTTGTGCATCTGTGTGTGTGACTTACGCCAGTGACATCCATAACTTTGATGGCGGCAAGCTGGCCTGTTTTGACATGGCGACCCTGAAAGAGAGAGAGAGAGGGCAAGAGAGAGAGAGAGAGATGAGTATCTAAAATAAAGCTGAGTTTTGCCAACAGTTCCATCCTGTAACCTGGGTGTGTTTTAGTCCCAAAGCCACAGCCTATGATCCAGCTCTCAGCCTGACCAAGATGGCTGACTGCCAGCAGGCCAGCACACACAGGACTGCTGCTGATGCCCACTGACAAGGCTTAGGAACACCTGCTCTTTCCATGACATAGCTTTCCCCTGGATTCACCTGGTCAGTCTAGGATCCCTTATTGATGTCACTTGTTAAATCCACTTCAAAATCAGTGTAAATGAAAGGGAGGAGATGGGTTAAAGAAGGATTTTTAAGCCTCAAGACAATTGAGACATGGATTGTGTATGTGTGCCATTCAGAAGGTGAATGTGCAAGACAAAATATTTAAGTTCCTTTTGAACGGGGTATGGTAGTAGGTGTCAGGCACACCGGTTTGAGTGTGTCAAGAACTGCAACGCTGCTGGATTTTTCACGCTCAACAGTTTCCCGTGTGTATCAAGAATGGTCCACCAAGCAAAGGACATCCAGCCAACATGACACAACTGTGGGAAGCATTGGAGTCAACATGGGCCAGCATCCTGTGGAACGCTTTCAACACCTTGTAGAGTCCATGGCCCAACGAATTGAGGCTGTTCTGAGGGCAAAAGGAGGTGCAACTCAATATTAGGAAGGTGTTCCTCATGTTTGGTACACTCAGTGTATATCACCTGAGGCAGCTACAGTAGGGAAGTTAAATAATACCCAAAACAGCAAGATGTAACATAAGATGTGGATTGAGTCAGCATGTGTCTATGTCTTTGTAGAGTGGAAGAATTCACACATCACCGCTATAACACACACACAGATAATCCATTATGTTTCTCAGTATTGCATCAGACACACTGACTGTATTTGACTGGCAGAGAAGCTGAACCAAACTGTGAAAAGTCACTTCTGTTCTATCCTCCCTCCCCTCCCTCTCTCTCTCTCTCATCTCGTTCAGACATGCTGTGAGACAGCTGACAACCCACAACTCCATTCTAATCTACCAGGCCGAGACAGACAGAGAGACAGAGACAGACACAGAAACAGACACAGAGACAGACAGAGAGAGCGAGAGAGACAAACAGACAGACAGAGACAGACAGAGACAGACAGACAGACAGAGACAGACAGGAAGAACGAGAGGGAGGACTGCTTGGTCCAGTTGTGTAGCTGACTGTCCTAAAAGCTCTGGGCATACTGAGTCACTCTCCCTTGCGCAACACCAGTGAAGCTAGGTCACATACACATGCACACACACACTCCAGAAAACACACACTCTTAAACGAAAATGGAATGGCAGATATGCGGAAAGCATATTACAGACAGGAAGTCAACAAGACAAGACCAGGTGGGAAGCTTGTAGCTCATCGTTTTTTTAATGTATTTATTTATTTCACCTTTATTTAACCAGGTAGGCCAGTTGAGAACAAGTTCTCATTTACAACTGTGACCTGGCCAAGATAAAGCAAAGCAGTGCGATAAAAACAACAACACAGAGTTACATATGGAATAAACAAAACGTACAGTCAAATTGCTGAGTAGAGTGTTGGAAGCTATTTTGTAAATGACATCGCCGAAGTCAAGGATCGGTAGGATAGTCCGTTTTACGAGGGCATGTTTAGCAGCATGAGTGAAGGAGGCTTTGTTGCGAAATAGGAAGCTGATTCTAGATTTAACTTTGGATTGGAGATGCTTAATGTGAGTCTGGAAGGAGAGTTTACGGTCTAACCAGACACCTAGGTATTTGTAGTTGTCCACATATTCTAAGTCAGACCCACCAAGAGTAGTGATTCTAGTCGGGTGGGTGCAAGCAGCGTTCGATTGAAGAGCATGCATTTAGTTTTAATAGCGTTTAAGAGCAGTTGGAGGCCACGGAAGGAGTGTTGTATGGCATTGAAGCTCGTTTGGAGGTTTGTTAACACAGTGTCCAATGAAGGGCCAGATGTATACAAAATGGTGTCGTCTGCGTAGAGGTGGATCTGAGAGTCACCAGCAGCAAGAGCGACATCATTTATATACACAGAGAATAGAGTCGGCCCGAGAATTGAACCCTGTGGCACCCCCATAGAGACTGCCAGAGGTCCTGACAACAGGCCCTCCGATTTGACACATTGAACTCTATCTGAGAAGTAGTTGGTGAACCAGGCGAGGCAGTCATTTGAGAAACCAAGGCTATTTAGTCTGCCAATAAGAATGCAGTGATTGACAGAGTCAAAAGCCTTGGCCAGGTCGATGAAGACGGCTGCACAGTACTGTCTTTTATCGATCGCGGTTATTATATCGTTTAGGACCTTGAGGTGCACCCATGAACAGCTCGGAAACCAGATTGCATAGCGGAGAAGGTACGGTGGGATTCGAAATGGTCGGTGATCTGTTTGTTAACTTGGCTTTCAAATACTTTCGAAGGGCAGGATGGATATAGTTCTGTAACAGTTTGGATCTAGAGTGTCACCCCCTTTGAAGAGGGGGATGACCGCGGCAGCTTTCCAATCTCTGGGGATCTCAAACGATACGAAAGAGAGGTTGAACAGGCTAGTAATAGGGGTTGCGACAATTTCGGCGGCTAGTTTTAGAAAGAAAGGGTCCAGATTGTCTAGCCCAGCTGATTTGTAGGGGTCCAGATTTAGCAGCTCTTTCAGGACATCAGCTATCTGAATTTGGGTGAAGGAGAAGCGGGGGGGGGGGCATGGGCAAGTTGCAGCGGAGGGTGTAGAGCTGGTGGCCGGGGTAGGGGTAGCCAGGTGGAAAGCATGGCCAGCCGTAGCAAAATGCTTATTGAAATTCTCGATTATCGTAGATTTATTTATCGGTGGTGACAGTGTTTCCTAGCCTCAGTGCAGTGGGTAGCTGGGAGGAGGTGCTCTTATTCTCCATGGACTTTACAGTGTCCCAAAACTTTTTGGAGTTAGTGCTACAGGATGCACATTTGTTTGAAAAAGCTAGCCTTTGCTTTCCTAACTGATTGTGTATATTGGTTCCTGACTTCCCTGAAAAGTTGCATATCGCGGGGACTGTTCGATGCTAATGCAGTACGCCACAGGATGTTTTTATGCTGGTCAAGGGCAGTCAAGTCTGGGGTGAACCAGGGGCTATATCTGTTCTTAGTTCTGAATTTTTTGAATGGGGCATGCTTATTTAAAAGATAGAGAGGAAAGCACTTTTGAAGAACATCCAGGCATCCTCTACTGACGGAATGAGGTCAATATCCATCCAGGATACCCGGGCCAGGTCAATTAGAAAGGCCTGCTCGCTGAAGTGTTTTAGGGAGCGTTTGACAGTGATGAGGGGTGATCGTTTGACCGCGGACCCATTACGGACGCAGGCAATGAGGCAGTGATCGCTGAGATCCTGGTTGAAGACAGCGGAGGTGTATTTAGAGGGTAAATTAGTCAGGATGATATCTATAAGGGTGCCCATGTTTATGGATTTAGGGTTGTACCTGGTAGGTTCCTTGATAATTTGTGTGAGATTGAGGGCATCTAGTTTATATTGTAGGACGGCCGGGGTGTTAAGCATATCCCAGTTTAGGTCACCAAGCAGTACGAACTATGAGGATAGATGGGGGGCAAGCAATTCACATATGGTGTCCAGGGCACAACTGGGGGCTGAGGGGGGTCTGTAGCAAGCGGCAACAGTGAGAGACTTATTTCTGGAAAGGTGGATTTTTAGAAGTAGGAGCTCAAACTGTTTGGGCACAGACCTGGATAGTATGATAGACCTCTGCAGGCTCTCTCTACAGTAGATTGCAACTCCGCCCCCTTTAGCAGTTCTATCTTGACAGAAAATGTTGTAGTTCGGAATGGAAATGTCTGAATTTTTGGTGGCCTTCCTAAGCCAAGATTCAAACACTGCTAGAACATCAGGGTTGGCAGAGTGTGCTAACGCAGTGAATAACTCAAACTTGGGGAGGAGACTTCTGATGTTAACATGCAAGAAACCAAGGCTTTTACGGTTACAGAAGTCAACAAATGATAGCGCCTGGGGGGTAGGAGTGATACTGGGGGCTACAGGGCCTGGGTTAACCTCTACATCACCAGAGGAACAGAGGAGGAATAGATTAAGGATATGGCTAAAGGCTTTAAGAACTGGTCTTCTAGTGCGTTGGGTACAGAGAAAAGAGGCAGATTTCCGGGCGTTGTAGAATAGATTCAGGGCATTATATACAGACAAGGATATGGAAGGATATGAGTACAGTGGAGGTACACCTAAGCATTGGGTAACTATGAAAGAGATAGCATCACTGAAGGAACCGATTGAGCCGGTCTCCGCGTGTATGGGGGATGGGACAAAGGAGCTCTCTGAGGCTGGTTGAGCTGAACTTGGGGCTCTACAGTGAAATTGTATAATAAGAACTAACCCAAACAGCAATAGGCTATTGGCATGGGAGAGAGGCATAACGCAATCACAGGTGTTATTCGTTCTGTGGGAACAGATTGGATGACAACTCCACATCCTGAGTAGCCCTTCACACTCGTACCTGTATATGGGTAGAAAAAAATTGCACATTTGGACACTGATAAGTGCCTAATTTGAACGCAGTGGGCTGTACAGTAACAAGCTGTACGTGACGTCAGAGCTCTGGTTCTGCGCTTCACAGTGCTGTATGGGTTTTGACTGACAGCCGTTCTGAACCTGAGCACTGCACGTTGCTCCCATCCCTCCTGCTTATTGGGCAACGTTTGCTGTAAAATAAGAGGACTCAGTGTATTTTGAAAGATGAGACATTGAAGATTAAAATAAACAACGCTTTGATGTCATACAAGCAAGCCAAATGTGCACTTCACATAAAACGAATGTGAAATACAGTGTCAATGTTTATGATCACTATGTTTGATGTAGAACAGTTACAAGATGACATGGCGTTATACCCTGGGTTTTCCCCTCCTTTTTTTTTTTTTTTTGTGGGGGCCCCCCCTTAAAACATTTTTTTTTTATTTT